GATGTCTGCAGTGGCTGTGACTGGGCCAAGGCTAACGCTGGGAGCTAGGAACTCAATTAATTTGACCCATCACTGCTGCCTCCTAGGGTTTGCATTAGCATGAAGCTGGAGTCGGTAGCCAGAGCTGGGAATTGAACCCAGGTACTTAATTATAGGGTGTGAGCATCTTAATTGGCATCTTAATTGCTACATCAAACACCTGGCACTAAAAGCAAACTGTCTTTATCATTCTGGAGCTGTAGGCTTTCATCTTTTCCTATTCCTTTCACTCTGGGTGTTCAGAGTTAATTCTTGTTTGAGACAGTGAGAGTGGCACACAAAGTGGCACAGAACTAGATCTCACTTTATTCCAGCCATGTGGAGACAGGAAGTGAAGGCTTAATGTGGTTGTAAACACTGGAGAGAATTTGAGTTGAAGATAATTATCCTGAAAGGCAATTATAATTTCCATTAAAGATTTCAATCGTTCCTGTTCTTCAGACAATGAACATTTCCTCTCAATCACTGGTTGTAGAGTAAAATTAATCTGATCTCTGGTGATTATGACTCCTTCTTCTCTTCCTCTTCTTGCCAGTGGAACATGCTTTTTAAAAATCTGCAGGCAGCTGATTTCTAGTTGTAAACAAAACCATACCTAGTCAAATTTGATGGCTTCAGAATGAAATGAAGCATCTGAAATAATAAAATGTCTGTTGTTGAAATAATATAAAGCTAATAGTGTCAGCATTTTATAATTCTAAATCTTCTTTCAGTGGCGTTCCTGCAATTTTTTTAGTATCTTTACAGCTTAATGAAATAAATGAAAAAAATGGTCATTTATTTTTGCTTTTTGTTATTTACAGATTTATTTTATTTATTTGAAAGAGTTACATAGAGAAGTAGAGGCAGAGAGAAAGAAAGAGATCTTCCATCCGCTTGGTTCACTCCCCAAATGACCGTAACAGCCAGAGCTGAGCTGATCCAAAGCTAAGAGTCAGGAGCTTCTTCTGGGTCTCCCAAGTGGGTGCAGGGGCCTGAAGACTTGGGCCATCTTCTACTGCTCTCCCAGGCCATAGCAGAGAGCTGGATCGGAAGTGGAGCAGCGAGGACTTGAACTGGTACCCATATTGGATACCAGCACTGCAAGCGCGCACGCGCGTGTGTGTGTAGGGGGGGCCTTTAATCCACTGCACCACAGCGCCGGCCCTGGGTCATTTCTTGACATCGTCTATTTGTTATGAAGAGAAGAATTATAACTAAATGTATAGTTTTTCCCCATTTTTAGGAAACAAATAGCCAAGTGCATTTCCAGCAGCTTTTGTTTGTTAATCTCCCACCTTAGTTAAAATCCCTTAAGCCATATGACAGTGAAAATTGGAGCATATCAAAATCAGATATTTAAAAAGTAAAATACTCTGTAAATTGAAATTGATTTTTAAGATAGATGCTTTGATGAAACTCCCAAAGGTAGAGTGTGAAAATGTCCCTATTCAATTTCTTGTTTGATTAGTTGCGTTGGCAGTGACCAAATGCTTGACATTTTAGTTTCATGAATGCGGATGCTTACTAATTTTTTGGCCTCCAGTAGTTTATAAGCAGGTACCATGTGCATACTCTGGATTAAACTTTCAATTTGTATTTCAGCAATTTAGTCAAAAAGTGTATGTAGCTGATTTGAGCCATTTTTTGAAATGGTTCAGATGTTTTGTACAATTGCAAGTATTGTTTAAGTAACCTTTAGAGAGCCCTAAATATATCCGACGAGTCATTATTTTTTTAAAGCAAGAGATATCCTTATTCATTAAAAAAAATAGCTTTAATGAGATACGATTCACAGAACATACAATTCACCCATTCCCTGTTAATGTTTTTTAAAGATTTATTTATTTATTTATTTATTTGAGAGAGAGAGATTCCATCTGATAGTTTACTCCCCAATTGGCTGCAAAGGCCAGAGCCACGCTGATCTGAATCCAGGAGCCAGGAGCTTCTCCCGGGTTTCCCACATGGGTGCAGGGGTCTGAAGACTTGGGCCATCTTCTACTGCTTTCCCAGACCATAGCAGAGAGCTGGATCGGAAGAGGAGCAGCCGGGACTCGAACCAGTGCCCATATGGGATGCTGGCACTGCAGGCAGCGGCCCCACCCGCTACACCACAGCTCCGTCCTGCCTCCTTTTCTTATCAGTGAACAGAAATAAGTGAGTTGGGTGTACCAAAGGAGGGTATTCCAGAGAAGAGATAAGGCTTTGAGGTGGAAATGGGATGAAGGAATGAGAACATTAGTCTAGGTAATAAGTAAAAAACAAAACAGGAAGGTAAGAATCTTAGTGATAAATTAGAAAGTATATGGTAAGAAACTTAGGTTTGTGCCTTTCTTGGGTCATGTTGGTAAGTGGAAGCTCATTGGAAGAACATCACAGATAAGGAATGGGGAAGACATAGAACAACACATAGCCTCATGGAATCTCCTTATGTTCAGGATATAGCTGCCATCTAGTGATTTACTAAACTCTGCTTTAGTGCCTTGCTACCTGATTGTTTCTGTTTGCTACTTTTTTTTTTTTTTTAAGATTTATTTATTTATTTGCAAGAGTTAGAGAGAGAGAGAGAGAAAGTCTTCCATCCACTGGTTCACTCCCCTAATAGCTGCAGTGGCCAGATCTGCGCTGATCCGAAGCCAGGAGCTTCCTCCGAGTCTTCCCACATGGGGGCAGGGGCCCAAGGACTTGGACCATCCTCCACTGCTTTCCCAGGCCATCGCAGAGAGCTGGACTAGAAGTGGAGCAGCTGGGACTTGATCTGGTGCTGATATGGGATACTGGTACTGCAGGCCGCAGCTTTACCCACTGCGCCACAGCACTGGCCCCTCTGCTTCTTGATCTGATCCTCCTACCACCTGACTGCTCTTTCTGCCGTTTTAGCCACCTTCCCAGGAACACTGGTGTGGGATTCTCTACTCTGCTGTTCTTTCATCATTCCACTGCTCTCAGCCCTTCCCTGCTTCTCCCCTCACTTAGAATAGAATTTAGACTCATTATTGAGGCCTGTTAGACTCTGCAGTGCCTGGCCCCTGCTCCCTATCTGGTCTCAGTTCCTATTCCTACTGCTTCCCACCTTTGCTCATGTGTTTCAGCCACATTGACCTCCTTGTTCTTGTACATGGCTAGCATGCACCCAGCTCAGAACCTTTGTACTTGATGTTCTTTTGCTTCCTTGCTTCATTCAGGCCCCTCTCAAATGCCGGAGAAGCTTCTCTGACCACCCCATCCATGGTGAAATAACCCACCTTACCACTTTGGTTTTACATTTCTTCACCTGACTTTCTTGTATATGACATAGTATGCTTTTTTTTTTTTTTTTTTTTTTTTTTTTGACAGGCAGAGTGGACAGTGAGAGAGAGAGACAGAGAGAAAGGTCTTCCTTTGCCGTTGGTTCACCCTCCAATGGCCGCCGCGGCCGGCGCGCTGCGGCCGGCGCACCGCGCTGATCCGATGGCAGGAGCCAGGAGCCAGGTGCTTTTCCTGGTCTCCCATGGGGTGCAGGGCCCAAGCACCTGGGCCATCCTCCCCTGCACTCCCTGGCCACAGCAGAGAGCTGGCCTGGAAGAGGGGCAACCGGGACAGAATCCGGCGCCCCAACCGGGACTAGAACCCGGTGTGCCGGCGCCGCAAGGCGGAGGATTAGCCTAGTGAGCCGCGGCGCCGGCCCAATGCATTTCTTTTGCATTTGATGATATTTCTCTGTCTCTCTTTCTCTCTGGAATTTAAGCTCCATGAAGGCTGCAGGCTTGGCTTGTTGTGTGTACTACTGGATCTCTGGTGCCTAGAATGTTGCATGGTGGGCACTTAGTACTGTTGACTGCTCATTGACATAGAATATGACTCACATTCAGACTTCCCTATAGGAGGAATCTGTCTCATCCAGTATTGAGTGCATCTGTTGGGTAAGATGCTAGTCTGAGTGTCTTACCAATTGGTAGGCAACTATTGTGTCGGGTTCCCAGGAGCCATGGTACATCCAACTGGTAATAGCCAGGATGGTGAGATCAGGAGATCCTCTTCTTTTAATAGCTCTGTCTCTCACTTGTTTGAACTGGTCCCTCCAAAAGTTTGAAGTTTGAATTTTTGATTCCTAAGAGAATTTCTGCCAGATCATATGCTGTGTAGTAGTTTCTCCCATTCTGAGCTAAGTGTCTAGAGGAATGATAGGAAGTAATATTTTGACTTCTTGACCTTTATATTCTGTTGCTGTATCATCCTGGCTCATATAATTGTATGCTTTCTTTTCCCATTTGTTCTTCTCTGGTTCTTTTTTTTTTTTTTCTTCTTCTTCTTTTTTTGTTAGAGATTTCTTTATGTAAAAGAGTTACAGAGGGAGAGAGAGAGATATCTTCCATCTGCTGGTTCACTCCCGATAATGGCCACAACAGTTGGGGCTGGGCTAGGCTGAACCAGGTCTCCTGGCTGGGTGACAAGAACCCAAGTACCTAAACCATCACCCACTGCCTTCCAGAGTACACATTAGAAGGAAGCTGGAATTGGAAGCAGAGGCAAATATCAAACCCAGGCACTCCAGTAGTCCAAGTGACATCTTAACCACTGTGCTAAACACCCACTCTAAGAATCCTTTCTATTCTGCCTTGTGTGAACTTTTCTTTCTTTATTCTTTATGGAAATCTACTTTGTACAAGACGTTGTGTCAGATTCTGGGCTACCTCAGTAAACAGAATACCCAGGATCTCACGGTATAGTTGGCAAATAAGTTATTTGGGTTTTACTATTCATTTATTCATTGATTAATTCAACAGATACTTACTGACACTAGGATAAAAGGTGGGTAAAAAAATGGACCTTACATTTGAGTAAGACAGACATGCATAAGACATGACATGCATAAGACAGACAACTACATAAACAAAAGTTAAATTATGGTTATGTTGAGTTCTGCAGAGAAAGCTTCCATAGTATTATGACAGTGTATTTCAGGAGGATTTGTTCTGGTCAGAAGAGCCAGGGATACCTTCTTTGAGGATGTGAGGGGTGAACTGAGATTCAAGGCATAGAAAGAATTGGAATATGGTTCTGGCAGCCTAGGCATAGAAGGGAGTAGCACAGTCCATGTTTAACAAAAGGAAGCAGGGATATAATCTTCTGCTCTAAACATTTAAGATGCTTTACTACAGAAGTGACAGGCAACCTGGATAGGTCTAAATGTTGAAACTCAAGAACTCGGGTCTTGAGTTCATAACAATCCATTGTTAGTAGTAGATAACACTGATATTTTTAAAAGCAAAAATTTCAGAAAAATACAGAATTGAACTACATATACACATTTCTAATTAAATCCCTTGTTATAGGCTGAGGAATAGAAGAGTGTTGGAAGGAAAGTGTAGATTAGTGGAGGAAGTGAGAACTAGGGTATAGGACAGGTAAGAATCCTATGATGCAACCTATGAGTATAAAGTGTACCTTTGATATAATACTTTCAAGACCTTCCCTTTTGCCATCACATACAATTTTTGCCTTGCCTGCCTCTCCAATAGCTATTTAATTTGTGTTCACAAATAATTACTCATAGAGGACATCATTCCTGTCCTGCAAGGTGCATTAGTTAGGGGCAAAAAATACCATTATGGATGGGACAGCCTTATTTTTTAGCTATTCACATTCAAACCAATAAAACATACTTCCAAAATCAAGAACCTTAACAATAAAATCCCTTCAAGTTATAAGTAAGGACACCAAGATTCCTGGTGACTGAGATTTATTCTCCATGAATTCCCTCTCCAGCCCAATACTCAAGCAGCAGCTTCAGCTATATTGCCTACTCTCCTGGTAATGTTAGGCCCAGAGGCATAGGAGGGTCCCAGGAAAGCCAAAGAGAGTAGTGCAGTAAGGACCAAGAAGTTAGATAAGTTCAGATTGTTGCTATGCCAGACCTCCGCTCTTGAGATAGTGGTGTTAATCCATTTTTGGTAATAGGTCACATTGGTATAGACCCCAGGAAGAGATGAACCACATTCCAATCCCCAGTTTACCACGCCTATCTGGATCCAGACACCATCAATGTCACACGATAGAGGCCCTCCAGAATCACCCTAAGGAAGAGATAGAGATCATGACTGTAATGAAAAGAAACATGAAGAGAGGAATACTCACAAGGGATACAGAGTCCCCCACTTTCCTCTGCCCCCATAATTTGTTTATTTGAAAGGCAGAGTGACAGAGAAAGAGATATCTTTGGCTGATTCACTCCCCAAAGTGTCCACAACATGTGGGGCTGGGCCAAACTGAAGCCAGGAGCCAGGAAATCCATCTGGGTCTCCTATCAGGGTGCTAGGGACCCAAGTTCTTGGGCCATCACCTGCTGTCTTCCCAGGCACATAAACAGGAAACGGATTGGAAGTGAGGTAGCTGGGACTCAAGCTGGTGTGGTACTCCAGTATAGTTTGCAGGCTTCCCAAGTTATTAGCTTAACCCATTGCACCTCAGTATTCACCCATGAAGAGTTTTTCAGAACCATGCATCAGACCCCTGGAGCTACAAAACTCTGAAAAGAGCTGCACTTTTTACTGCTTTAGGGGGTGATCACAGTAATTCTAGAATCATAGAATTTGAAATTGGCAAGGACTTTCATGAAATCAATAATTTCAGAAATGTTCTGATATGATAAAGAAGTAAGAATGTGATGAGTTTTTCAGTAGTTAAAATTTATTCAATTAAATGAACTGCTTATTTTTCTGTTTCTAGATTCTTGGTGCCCTTTTTTCAGTGCTAAAAGCTACAATTTCTTATATAAAGTGATTGTGGTAATTAGTAGCATGTCTCAATCTAACCTTTCCTTTTGTAATGCCTTTACTGAGATACAATTCACATATCATACCATTTACTCACAGTATACAATAAAATGGGTCTTAGTATATTTACAATGTGGTTATGTAATCTTTACTACAATTCATTTTAGAACATTTCATCACACCCAAAAGGAACCCCATATTCATTAGTCCTGTTTCTTCCCACTCCTTCCAGCCAGAGGCCAACTTAGTCATCTTTTTTCTGCCTCTATGGATTTGCCTGTTTTGAACATGCATGTAAATGGAATCATACTGTATGTTGGTTTTTGTGTCTGGTCTCTTTCACCTACCATACATTTTTTCAGGGTTCACCCACCTTAGTAGCATGTATCAGTCTCCATTCCTTTTAATGACTGAATAATATTTTTGTTAAAAATATGGTTTTTATTTGAGTCTATGAGAATACTCTCCAGTCCTACAGCCAGGAACCTGCAATCCAGGTCTCCCATGTGGGTGGCAGGAACCCAGTTACCTGAGCCATCATTGCTGCCTCCCAAGGTCTGCATTAGCAAGCCACTGGCATCAGGAGCTAGATAGAAGAGGCTGTCAGACTCAGGGATGCTTGCATTTTAAGTGCTGAGCCAAATGCCTGCCCCCAAACTGAGTTGTAGATGCACTTTAGCAGGTTGAGAAGAAGTTTTTAATTAGGAAAGGGTAGCTGGATTTTGTCCGAACTTGGATTTGGTTTACTAGTATTTTTTGAGGATTTTTCTGCCTATATTCATAAGAGATATTGGTCTGTAATTTTCTTAGGGTGTTTTTGTCTGGTTTTAGTCTTAAAGTAATATTGATCTATTTAGAATGTATTAGGAAGCATCCCTCCTTCTCTACTTTTTAGAAGAGTTTGTAAAGAATTAGTATTCTTTAAATGTTGAGTAGAATTCACTAGTGAAGCCATCTAGGCCTGGGCTTTAAAAAAAATCTATTTGAAAGGCAGAGACAGACAGATAAACACAGAGATCTCCCATTCGTTGGTTCATTCCCCAAATGCCTGCAACAGCTAGGGCTGGGCCAGGCCAAAGCTAGTAGTCCAAAACTCGGTCCAGGTTTCCCATGTAGCAGTAGAGACCCAAGCACTTGAGCTGTCACCTGCTGCCTCCCATGGTATGCAGCAAAGCCAGGACTCCAGCAGGACTCTGATATAGAATATGGGCTTCCAAAGTGGCATCTTGACCACTGTGCCAAATGCCCAGCCTCAGCTATTTATTTGTTGGTATGCTGGCCTTCTTTCTTACTACTTATACTAAATTGCTTTCTTTTTTTTTTTTTTTAAGTAGGCATTCTTGTCTTGTTCCATGGTTTTTTTGTTTGTTTTTTAAGATTTATTTATTTATTTGAAAGAGTTACAGAGAGGGCCACTGCTTTATTCCCCAGATGGCTGCAATTGCCAGAGCTGGGCCAAGCTGAAGCCAGGAACTCCATCCAGGTCTCCCACAAGGATGGCAGGGGCCCAGACACTTGGGCCATCTTCTGCTGCTTTTCCAGGCCATTAGCTGGGAGTTGGATTGGAAATGGAGCAGCCAGGACGCAAATTAGCACCCATACGGGATACGGCATCACAGGCTGCAGCCTGACTCACTATGCCACAACTCCAGTCCCTAAATTTTTTAAAAATTGGTTTATATGAGAGGCAGAGAGCAACAGCATGAGCAGGTGTGTGTGTGTGTGTGTGTGTGTGTGTATAGGGGGAGTACGTTCTGATTTGCTGGTTCATTCCCTAAATGCCTACAATGGCCCACGCTGAACCATAGCTGAAGTTGGGATCATGAACACAATCCAAGTCTTATTTCAAAGTCAGAGTGCCAGAAAGAGAGGGAGAGACAGAGATCTTCCATCCACAGGTTCACTCCCCAAATGCCTGTAAAAGCTAGGGCTGGGCCAGGTTGAAGCCCAGAGTTTCATCCAGTCTCTCACTGTGGATGGCCTGGGACCAAACACGAGGGCCCTCTTCTACTGTTTCTCCAAAGCCATTATTAGCAGGGAACTGGATCAGAAGTGGAGCAGCTGAGACCTAAAGCAGTGCCCAAATGAGATGCTGGAGAAGCAGGCAGCAGCTTTACTCACTATGCCACAACGCCAGCACCCCCCCTCCTTTTTTTTTTTTTTTTAAGAATTTATTTATTTGAGTTACAAATAGGAGGAGTCCAGAGACAGAGCACACCTCAAATTCTGTGTGTAATTCTGTTCAAATCTATCATCTGACCCCCTAAACTACACATACATGTTCAGGTTGGACTCCAGGCAGCTTGGCTGAGACTAAAAGAACTGCTACTGCATATCACCAGAGAGATACGATTTGGAGTTTAAGGTCAGCCAGGTTAACTCCCTGTTGAAACAGGAAGTACACATTCTTTAGAAAAACATAACAATCCTTATTCTATACACTGTGCTACTTGTCCAGGATATAATCCCAAATTATTAGAAGTTCAAATAAACAAACAAAAACTAGGAAAATGTTTCCAAAGATAAACTGGAAATTACTACTCAGGAGAAAAAGCAATCAGTGGAGAATAACCATCAGATCTCTCTGACTTTGGAATCGCCAGATAAGGAACTTAAAGCAGCTGTTGAGATCTGTGATAAACGCATGAGAAGGAAAATGTACAAATAGTGGTGCAGATAATACAAGTACGTTGATATGGAAATATTGGCAGAGATACAGAAAAATGTGTAAGTGAGAGGGCGAATAAAACCAAATGATCATTCTAGAACTAAAAGAATCTGAAATAAAAAATTCACTAAGTAAATTTAACAGTAAACTGCAAATAGCAGAAAGACAATGGTTTTTTAATAGTGATTAAAAGATTTATTTTGAAGGACAGAAAAAAAGATAAAATGGAACTGTATGAAAAAATGTATAACTTACGAATTTATGGTTTCCACTAGAAGGGGGAAGAGAAAAAGTAGAATACTTTTTGAGAAAGTTATGAGTTAAAACTTTGAACAAAAGTTTGTCTTTCCCAAGTTTTGCTGAAGGAAAGTAGATTAAAAATCTAAAACCACCATGAATCTCAAATAGGATAAATGCAAAAAGAAAAAAAAAATCACACCTAGGACATCATTCAAACTACTGACAATCAAAGATAAAAATAATTGAAAACATCTAGAGGAGAACAACATATTAACACTCAGTGGAATGAAGATACAAATGAAGGCTGATTTTTAAGTGTAGGATGAAGTGTTCTTGAAAAAATGAAAAAGTTGGTAATTTTGTGTCAATCTCTTATATTAAGGGATTTATTTCATAAATATATTTATGAAAATTAATGGATGTATAATTCTAATGACCAATGGTTAGTACTGAATCAACAGTCTTACAGTTAAAGAGATTATATTCAGGTATTAGTTATTTTGCCAAGGGTAACACAAGAATTCTTGTTAGAATGCCTAGCCCCTGACTCCCAGTCTACTGTTGTTTACAGGTAGGAAAACTGGGATCCAAGTAATTATTTCTTATTAAAAAAAAAAAAAAAGTCAAGAGGCTGGTGTTGTGGTACAGCTGGTTAAGCTGCCACTAGTGGTGCACCATCCCATTTGAGCGCCAACATGAGTCCTGTCTGCTCCACTTCCTGTCCAGCTCCCTGCTCATGTGCCTGGGAAAGTAGCAGAAGATGACTCAAGTACTTGGACCCATACCACCCACATTAGAGACCCAGATGGAGTTCTGGGCTCCTGGCTTCAGTCTGGCCCAGCCCTGGCTGTTGGGGCCATTTGAGGAGTGAACCAGTGGATGGAAGATCCCTCTGCCTTTCAAATAAATGAATAAATCTTTTTTATAAAGATTTATTTATTTATTCGAAAGTCAGAGTTACACAGAGAGGGGAGAGAGAGAGAGAGAGAGAGAGAGAGAGGTCTTCATCCGATGGTTCACTCCCCAATTGACTGCAAAGACTGGAGCTGTGTCAATCTGAAGCCAGGAGCCAGGAGCTTTTTCCATGTCTCCCACATGGGTGCAGGGGCCCAAGCACTTGGGCCATCTTCTGCTGCTTTCCCAGGCCACAGCAGAGAGCTGGATCGGAAGTGGAGCAGCCGGGACTAGAACCAGTGCCCATATGGGATGCTGGCGCTTCAGGCCAGGGTATTAACCTGCTGCGTCACACCGCCAGCCCCCCCCCCCCCCCCTTTTTAAGTCAAGAATAAGCTCTAACCTGGCAACTGTCTTTCATTCCCCGAGTATCACCAGCACAAAGCATGTCTTCTGTGATGACTGGCTCCATTTCTGGAAAGAAGATACCAACTGGATTATAAAGTCGTTCACAAGCCTGGCGGTGAATAATGGGTAGTTCTACTTCCTGGAGGTCAGAAGGGTGATTGTTGTCTGTAGAGGAAGGCAGGAATGAAAGGTTAAAGCAATCTGGAAAAGCCCAGGGGCAACATTCAGTCATGACATGCTAAGTCTCTAAATGGGAGACTCAAAAACAGAATATGATTGCTTTCCAATTCTATTTGCCTATGGAAGGAACTTTTGATACAGTTAAATTTAAAACAATGAATGATTAAGCATTATTTGTGGTTTTTCTATTGCTTTAGTATTCTAAATAGATGTGAGTATTCTAAAAGTACATTAAAATTCTCCTTTCCCAGTTTTCCTGCTTCCAGATTAGTTCCTGTCTTATCTCTACACCAAATTGGCGAATCCTTTAAAAAAAGAGGGAAAAAAACCCCGCCAGACTCTGTAAATTTTAAATCAGGCTTATTAACCTCTGAGAGAGGTGAATAAGGTGCTTCCATTGTTAGTATCTGCTCTTCCAGCTATCGTTAGAGTCTAGGAAGGACCTAAGAGTAGGCATGTAAGTGACAAAAATATATGGTTTGAAGACTTCTAGATAATATCATTTGGTTAGCTTTGTTGAAAAATATTTGCCATGGTAAGGATATGCCTAAAATTTGAATGCTCTAGATTGGGTACAAAAAGGTGATGTATGAAACTAGTCCTCTTGCTGCCCATTCTTACCTGTACTCTCCTTAACTTTTCCCCATCCAGTCACCCAACAAGAAGGGGGAATTTTCAGCTGCTTTGCGATGGTGGGTAAGCAGATGGGTGTGATCAAAGAAGTGAAGGTGACTTGGGAAGCCAGTTTCAACAAGGCAATGTCTGCGGTTCTGTTGTCATATTTGGGATGGATGATGATCTTGGACACGTAGTATTTCACAGCTTTACTTGAATAGCCTATTTTAGTGGATCCCAGCCATACACTATATAAAAATGTATTCCATGTCCTAAGGGGAAAAGAAGGAGAATAAACGTGAAGCATGCTATGGGCTACAGCTGTTTAGAACAAGGTACCCATAGCACCTGGTATCTAAGCTAGAAAGAGTGGTAGCAGACTGGGAATTAACCAGGGTGCTCCCAGCCTGGGCTAGAGTGAGTTGGTCTCTTTTCTTCTCCTTCCTCTGTGGATATTTTTTCTGCAGTCTCCTGTTAGAAGCTTATGGCCAGGGTTTTGCTGTTAATTTTATCTCTGGTTCTTTCATTTACCTCTGCCATTCTCCATGGTTTCAGCCATTGCCTGTATGCTCAGTAATCATTGGTCTTTATTGCCAGTTTTGATTTCTGTTCTGCACACTAGACCTTTATTGCCAAGTACAGTTTTAAGACAAAGTCTAATCAAGTTACCCATATACTTGTCTAAATTTAAAGTGCCAGGTAGTGTGATAAGATGTCCAAAATACATGAAGAAGTAAAAAACACTCTGTCCCACCACCTGCAGTCTACACTATTCAGAGGAAATAACTTTCAAGTATTTTAGCGCTTAGTAATTTCCTTAGTATTTTCAAGAAACCCTCTGTATTACTATTTTTTAATTTTTTTTTGTTGTAACGGCTTATTATGATTTATTTGAAAGGCAGATGACAGAGACAGGCACAGAAAGATCTTCCATCCACTGGTTCACTCCCCAAATGCCTGCAACATGTAAGGCTGCACACCCAGGCTGAAACCAGGAGCCTGGGACTTGATCTGGATCTTCACGTGGGTGGCAGGGGCCGAGGCGCTCAGTGGTCACCTGCTGCCTGCCAGGGTGCATTTTTAGCTGGAAGCTGGGTCAGAAGCAGAGGCAGAGCTTTTGCACATCATTTGTTCACCCCCCACCTTCTACTTCCTTTCCACAAATCCTCTAACCAGTATTACAGCCTTTTGTTAGATCAGTGCTTAGTGTAGATGCTCTTACGACTTTGTAAACATTATCCAGTACTGGGTCATAGTGAATACCGTGATTACATTTTTTATAAACTTTTGCTTCTCCTGGAGTTCATAATGTGGTCCCACTTGTTTCTGTGTACTATGTACCCATCGCTAATTTCATCAGTCATTCCCCAAATTCTCTGCCAAATGTGCAGATCGCCCCTCGATACCTGGAAACCTGTCAGGCATTCTATTAATACTGTTTTTGGAATCCTCTGCCCTCTTGTTCCAATCCTAACTGACATACAGCTATCATCTTGGCCCCTTCCTTTACTATTTATGATTTTCTTGGGATTCTTTTCTGTGTTGTATCTCCTTTTGTCTGTATTATCAGATGTTCTTATTTACCTTCATTTATTTTGGTGAAGCACATTCTTCTATGGCTTTCTTAGAAAATCTGAGAGATTACATTTTTGGTACTTTGCCGATTTAAAAATATCTTATTTCCACCCTACCTTTGGTTGATGGCTTATAAATGGATAAGATTGTAGTTGAAGTAATTCTCTTAGTATTTTGAAGTCATTACTCTGCTTTGACTATTACTGAGAAGTCATGTTACTTTGATTTCTATATGTATTGGTTACCTGTTGTTACATAACAAGTTAGCACAAGCTTAATGCCTTAGAACAATACATGTCTTGGAGTTTTGATGGGTCAGGGATCAGGAGTGACTTAGTCAGGTGCCTCTGACTCAAGGTCTCATGCAGAAATCATGGTAGACTGCAGTCCTCCCGAGGCTTGACTAGGGGAGGACCTGTTCTCACCCTCACTGATGTTGGCAGGCTTCTGGTCTTCTCTAGCTGATGGACTCAGTGCCACATGGACCTCCCCTGGGACTGTCTTCTACACGTCAACTTGCTTCTCTCACACAGTAGCTCTGAGGGAGAGCGCGTGCACTCTGATTGTGCTTGTGACCCCCAGAAAGCATAAAGCGATGTGTCATTTGTATTTAGGAGTGATTTGGAAAAAAAGAAAAGTTTCTGCTATAGTGCCTGTGTCTGTCGTTTCAATTTCCACTTCTGTGCCCTGTCCCTAGTTCCAAGGTGACCTAGGGTTTTCTTCTGCCCTACCTGTCCTACCCTTGTGTTGGTCTGTCACTTCATGAAGTCATTCAGATAGTCACTGAGAACTTGCTGCATTCTGGCTCCCAGCTGGGACTCACCTCTGTAGGCAGTGTGCCGCTGTCAGTATCCACCTCTCGCTGATGAGGGAACCTCCACAGATATGGGCATCTGCCAGCTGTAGGCTGACTTGCCAGGGCCAGCGCCCCTCCACAGCATCCTGACCTCCAACAATGCGGCTTGAGAGTACAGGTCGCCCACATACTAAAGAAAGAGGGGAAAAGGAAACGTGGAAATCTGACAGTCCTGTTTCTCTGGTCCCCACCTCCCCATCATCTCCAAACTTGCATTCATTTCTGGGACCGGAACCCTACCTAGATTCCATATTCTGTGCTATTCTTATGTCAGACTCAGCAGTCTTGGGCCCAAATGGGGACCACTCACCTGACTTCAGATCTTTCTTTCTCAGAAAAGAGCGTGGGTAAGACCCTAAGGAAGACAAATGGTGTCATTAATATATAATAACATATTTAGATTCACTGAACAGAGAAGCCTCCCTTATATTTAAATTTCCCATATTGGTGTTAAAGGCCACAACTTACAGTGTCTACCAATTATGGAGAATCTTGGTGGTTACATACTGCCTTCTTCAGCAGCTACCTGGAACATAATTTAACTCCTGATAATTCAGGGGTACCATCAGGAATATCAAATATGTTAGGTTGTAAATGGAATGATCCTGTCAGCTGCTCTTGAGACTTATCAGCTTTATGTTTTTGTGTTTAATTGAATTAGCATTTTGCAGTATTCACTTATCTTTCTTCTTTGCTACTTTCAGGATTCCTGAAAAAATTTGTTTATTTGAAAGAGCAACAGGGCAGGAGGGGAGAGGGATGGGGTGGGGGAGGAGAGAGGGAGAGAGGGAGAGGGAGGGGGAGAGGGAGAGAGAGAAAAAGATCTTCCATCTGCAGGTTCACTCCCCAAATGGCCTTGGCTGGAGCGGGGCCTATCTGAAGCCAGGAGCTTCTTCCGGGTCTCCCACATGGGTGCAAGGGCCCAAGCACTTGAACCATTGAGAGCTGGATCAGAAGAGGAACAGCTGGGACGGGAACTGGCGCCCATATGGGAGGCTGGTGCCACATGCAGAAACCTTAGCTAACTACGTTACAGCACAGGCCCCAGGATACCCTTCTTTTAAATTACTATGGGCTGGAAAAATAAATGACCAAGCTTATGTCTGAAATCATTGGAATGCTATTTGTACTTCCAGTTCCCTCTGCTTGAAGTGCTTTTTTCCTGGATCTTCATAGCTAACTTGTGCATTTGCTTTAAGCCTTGGCTCAAATGGCTCCTCCTCAGTGAGGGTTTCCTTGTCCACCCTATTTTTTAAAATCACACTTCCTGACCCTGCACTATAGATGTCCCTTTCCTTTCAGAGCATGAATTACCTACTAACCCTTATTATTCACATATTTGGTATGGAATGATTATGAGCACCACAGAGACCAAGATCGTAGTTCTGTTTCCTATACCCGAGAACCCTGGAACACAGCTGAGTATATACTCACCTTTCTGGACTTGCACAAGTTATGGGTGAAGCGTCATACTATTCTATATGACTCCTTTTTTTTTTTTTTTTTTTTTTTTTTTTTTTAAGATTTATCTATTTATTCGAGAGGCAGAGTGACAGACAGAAATCTTCCATCCACTGGTTCACTCCCCAAATGGCCACAAGTGGAGCACCCGGGAATGAATGGGCACTCTATGGAATGCCAGTGTCACAGGTGTTGGCTTAACCCACTACACGACAACACCGCCCCCAGGAACTTCCTGAGAAAATAAACCACTGCCTTTCTTCTAATGCCACTGCAGAGACTCACCCAGCAAAAGAAACACCAGGAAGGCACAGCTGGCAGGGCCCATGTCTCTCTCCTCAGGAGCAGCACTTCCTGTTTCTTGGACTCATGCTCCCAGGAGAGCGAGCTGGGAGCAGCTTCTCCTGGAAGGATTCCTCTGCTTCACACTCTTTCTCCTTTGGTCTTCACGATACGTAAGAACAGGGTGGCGCTGTGGCGTAGCAGGTAAAGCCGCCAGCTTTGAGATCCGGCTGCTCCACTTCCAATGCAGCTCTCTGCTATCGCCTGGTAAAGCAATAGAGGATGGCCCAAGTCCTTGGACTCCTGCACCCGCGTGGGAGACCCGGAAGAAGCTCCTAGCTCCTGGTTTTAGATTCGGTGCAGCTCCGGCCGTTGCAGCCATCTGAGGAGTGAACTAGCAGGTGGAAGACCTCTCGCTCGCTCGCTCGCTCTCTCTCTCTACCCCTCCTTCTCTCTGTGTGTAACTGTGATTTTCAAGTAAAATCTAAAAAAAAAAAAAAAAAAAAGTGCAGCTTGTAGGCCCCGGGGTGAGGTGTTGGGGCTATGGCGCCCCCTGCTGTCGTGGAAGAGTAAGGTGTCTGGTTTCTGTTTAGGGCTAGCAGATGGAAAGGCATAGGTAGCATAGTAGGTTGAAGGCACTCAGCTGGACTCTGTCTCTAGTTAAATGAAAGGTAGACAGGAGTCTTAAAAGGCAAGAAATGGGGGCCGGCGCCATGGCTCACTTGGTTAATCCTCCGCCTGTGGCGCCGGCGTCCCATATGAGCGCCGGGTTCTAGTCCCGGTTACTCCTCTTCCAGTCAAGCTCTGTGCTATGGCCTTCCCCAGGCAGTGGAGGATGGCCCAAGTCCTTAGGCCCCTGCACTCACATGGGAGACCAGGAGGAAGCACTTGGCTCCTGGCTTTGGATCGGCGTAGCTCCGACCATAGCGGCTATTTGGGGGAGTGAACTAACGGAAGGAAGACCTTTCTCTCTGTCTCTCTCTCTTTCACTAACTCTGTCAAATAAAAATAAAAAAATAAAGCAAGAAGTGGAAAAGGTGTGGGTAAGTGGGAGAGTTGAACTGTAAGGCATTTATAATAAAGGCTTCAACACATCCTGCAAGTCGCTCTGAAACTGAAGGCGGCACTTCAGTGATGGGCTGAATGGAGGCTAGAGGAGTGGGCTCTTGGACCTCTGTGTCGTTGAATGTGGGCTGCCTCCAATGTGGGGGGAGGTGGCTCTGTTGGCAGTCCTTGGTTAGACTTAGGTGTGAAGTGTGAGCAGCCAACATGCATGGCTGCTATGGGAATGAATGCTTTGGTTCTGAACTGGGATCTGAGTGGCACTCCACCACGTCTGTCCTTGAAGTCTTCTCTGTGCCTGCCACACTTTCTGCACCAGTTGTGTGTAGGGGCCTAGGTCTGTAGAAGCAGAATTCAATGAACTGTTAAAGCGTGTTATTACCCTCTGTAGCTTAAACTATTGGGAGAATTGAAAAAAATACCTGACTAGTTTGAAAATGAACAGGTATCAAAAGTCCACTTAAACCACTTTAAATCAAGAGAGGATTATTTTAAAGATAGTATTTTGGGGTGAATTATGTCTACCTCTAAATTCATGTTGATGGTCTAATATCATGTACCTCAGAATGTGACCATAATTGGAGATAGGGTCTGTAAAGAGGTACTTAGGTTACAGTGAGATCAATCGGGTGCGCCCTAATCCGGTATGAATCCTGTTCTTAAAAGAAGAGGAAATTTGGGCACAGATACATACAGAGGGAGAAAGAAGATGGTTATCTCCAAGTGAAGTTGTTCTGAAACAAATCCTTCTCTCATGGCCCAAAGGAAGAACCACCCCTGCTGACCCCTTGATCTTGGACTTCTGGCTCCAGAACTATGAGAAAATAAGCCATTCCGTGTACAGTACTATGGGATTTTTAACAATCCCAGCAAACTAATACAGATAAGTATGAAACAATAACAGTAGGATAGCAGTGCCCTTTGGAACTATCACAGGACAGACCTGGAGGCCAGAGCTGGAAGGGAGCTCTGGATTCATGATGGCACAAGGCCTTATAACCAGCTTCACTCTGGTTCTCCACCATTAAATGTGGCTCAACCACATTTCATGCTGTTTCTATCTATCCTCCTAAAAACTGCCCAGGTTTTTACTTATTTTCAGTTCAGATTCCCAGGAAATCTTTGGTGCAGTTTTTTCTCTTAGCAATACGTGGACTCATGACTGGATTGTCTTTGTGAGTGCCCTTATGTGAGTAGGGAAGAAAATGGGGATGCACAAGGTAGCATGTACCAATGCCATCTCACTAGTCCAAGTGATCAATTTCTGTTCACAATCGATCATAATGATAGGACTAAGAGCCAAAGGGACCACACAAACAAGACTAGTGTCTGCAAATACTAACCGATAGAATAAAAAAGGGAGAGAACGATTCAACATGGGAAGTGAGATACACAGCAGACCCATAGAATGGCGGATGTCCTAAATAGCACTCTGGCCTCAGAATCAGCTCTTAAGGCATTCGGATCCTGCTGAATAGCCCATGAGAGTATTTCAGGCATGGAAAGCCCAGACACTCTGTCAAAAACAAAACAAAACAAAACAGCACCTAAATGAAAGATCTCCGGGAATGAGATCCCAGTGGAAAGAATGGGGCCATCAAAGGAGGAGGCACCTTTCTCTGAAGGGAGGAGAGAACTTCCACTTTGACTATGACGTTGTCTAAATATGATCACAGTCGGTGAACTCAAAAGGCTTCCATAGCCTTGGAAACTCAGGACAGGAGTGTCAATTTGTTAAGTCAACAACAGGAGTCACTGTGCACTTACTCCTCATGAAGGATCTCTGTCCTTAATGTGCTGTACATTGTGATTTAATGCTATAACTAGTACTCAAACAGTATTTTTCACTTTGTGTTTCTATGTGGGTGCAAACTGTTGAAATCTTTACTTAATATATACCAAACTGATCTTCTGTATATAAAATAATTGAAAATGAACCTTGATGTGAATGGAAGGGGAGAGGGAGTGGGAAAGGGGAGGGTTGCGGGTGGGAGGGAAGTTATGGGGGGGAAAGCCATTGTAATCCATAAGCTGTGCTTTGGAAATTTATATTTATTAAATAAAGTTAAAAAAATAAATAAATGAAAAAAAAAGAAAATGAGGATGCAGAAGTGTAGCTAACTAGGCAGCAGAGACTGTTAGGGCAGGGCAGAGGTGAGGTTTGTTATCTTTCAGGACAGTAGCATAAAGATTTTTACCTCTTTAAATATATATATTTGTAAAGAATTTTTAGAATTGAACACTTCAGGGGCCGGTGCCGTGGCACACTAGGTTAATCCTCTACATGCGGCACCGGTACCCTATATGGGCACCGATTCTGGTCCCTGCTGCTCCACTTCCAGTCTAGCTCTCTGCTATGGCCTGGGAAAGCAGGGGAAGATGACCCAAGTCCTTGGGCCCCTGCACCCACGTGGGAGACCCTGAAGAAGATCCTGGCTCTGGATTGGCGCAGCTCCGACCATTGTGGCCATTTGGGGGGTGAGCCAATGGAAAAGGAAGACCTTTCTCTCTGTCTCTCCCTCACACTGTCTGTAATTCTATCTCTCAATAAATACATAAATAAAATCTTAAAAAAAAAGTGAACACTTGAAAAACATCCACTCTCCACATGCTTGCTTTCTGACTGCCACACTATGAATTTTTACCAAACTTAGGTTTTGCAGATCCCCTTGTCTTCATTTGTGTCCGCTTGGTGGGGCTGGAATTTACTGACTACTATTACATTTTGTTAGTTTCTCTGTACCTTTTAAATTGTTCTTCTTTTATATATATATCCTTTTTTTTTTTTCCTTTTTGGTGGTTTGTACATTCATTTTGGCTTTCAATCATTCACTGTGATTTTATCATTCTGTAATGTCTTAGTATTTTTTACCTTATTTTTTTCTGAAATTAATATTGCACCCTGCAGTGTTCTGCTTGCTTCATTGAAGAAAAAGACTTTTTATTCATATTGCAACCATCTATGCGGGCATACCAATTAGCTTATGTTATTCACAGATAATTTTAAATGTTACTTATTTTAAAAAAGCTTTAAAAAAAGACCTCAGCTTGAGATTTGCCTTCAAGTTATTATTCATTGTGCAGAAATCCCAAAGTTCTGGGCAGATGTTTCTGCTGACTTATCCCCAGAGAAAGCATTTGCCTAGACACTCCTTTCCTTTTGAGAGTCTTGTGATTGCCACAGGTCTTTGCACTTTTTATCACTGAATAAATCTGAAGTCCCGGCTTATAGCACTTATGTATTAGTGGGACTGCTTACAGATTTTCTTCTTTCCCCTTTTGTTTAAAGGTTAAAAAAAAAAAAAAACCTATAATTTGGTTTTGGTGTCTGTTAAATTAATTGGAAATAAATGCTGTGAGTATAACTGAGGAACTTGCTTTATTCTGAAAATTGGAAGGTAAAAAATTGTTATCCTGCTTGTAAACTGGAAGGTAAACAAAGGAATTAAATAGTTATCTTGCCTTTCTGTAAAACTTGTAGCTCAGAGTAACAAATTAGGCTTAGTTGAGGGTAGAATGCCAACTGATAATTGTGATTGAACTAGGAAATTGGAAAGTCACCAGTTGTAGCCACTCATGAAGTAATTGATTCAGGGAGTGATTAATTATCAATAGTTGGAAGACCTGGATGGAAGGCTAGTGGAGGACTTAGGCTGTTACCATTTGAACGCTGTGATTAATGTTAACATCAGTAAAAGTGGGACAACCCATACCTGTGCCTCCTGGAATCACATAGTGCAAAGCACACAGCTAACTCCTATGAGGTATTGTCAAAAAAAGTGAGACTTGACTCTGAAGCTACTTTCACTATAGCAAATACAAGGGATAAAGGAGTAAGTTAAATTACAACATAAGGAGGTAAAAAATAAAAATAAAAACTTAAATCCAGAATGTAGGACATTTTATAAAGTAGCTAACCTAGTTTCTGTAAAAAGTCAGTGCTATGAAGATGGGGAGAGACTGTTCTAGATTATTAGAAAGATTATAAGAAACTTAAGAGACAGGGCTGACATTGTGGTGTAGCAGGTAAAGCTGCTACATAAAACGTCAGCAACCCATATGGCTGCTGGTTTGAATTCCTGGTGCTCCACTTCCATTCCAGCTCCCTGCTGATGGCCTGAGGAAAGCAGCAGTAGATGGCCCAAGTCCTTGGGCCCCTGCCACCCATGTGGGACACCCAGATGAAGCTCCTGGGGTGTGGCCCAGCCTTGGTTGTTGTGGCCATCTGGGAAATAAACCAGCAGATGGAAGATATAGCTCTGTCTCTCTCTGCCTTTCAAATAAATAATAATCTTTTTTTTTATTAAAAACCTTTTTTTAAAAAAGATTTATTTATTTGAAAGAGTTACACAGAGAGAGGAGAGGCAGAGAGAGACAGAGAGAGGTCTTCCATCCGCTGGTTCATCCCCAATTGGCCACAACGGCCAGAGCTGCGGCGATCCAAAGCCAGGAGCTAGGAACTTCCTCTAGGTCTCCCACGCAGGTGAAGGGGCCCAAGGACTTGGGCCATCTTCTGTTGCTTTCCCAGGCCATAGCAAGAGCTGGATCGGAAGAGGAGCAGTCGGGACTAGAACCGGCGCCCATATGGGATGCTGGTGCTTCAGGCTAGGGCTTTAACCCGCTGAGCCACAGCGCTGGCCCCAAATTAAAAACCTTCTAAATCCATGCTTATTCCCCAGGACCCAGTCTAGTCCCAGTTTTGGATGGTTTTCATCTTGGATTCAAACAAGAATAAACTAACCTCTGGACTCCAGCTTTCTCATTTATAAAATGTGAGCGTTGGTTGTGCCAGGTGATTCCCAGATTCCTTTTGTCCCTAAGTTTCTGTGTTTCTCTGCTTCCCCAACCCCTGTCTGATTTCATCAAAAGAATGAACAAGGACTAATTGATAGAATCAACTCATTTTAAAAAATGCTTTCTTTTTAAAAAACATGTGAATTGAAAGGTGACGATGTATCTTTATGGGGTATAGTGTGATGTACACGTATACAGTGTACTCAGGAGGTTTATGTTATCCTTCACCCCAGGTAGTCACTCTGGGCATCTTGCTTTCCAGGCTGACCTGGGGGAAAAAGGCAACAAAAAGATTAGGTTTATCAGAAGATAGAACTGCATAAGTCTTGCTGATTCTTCAAAATCTTTTCAAAATACTCAGCTTCTAAAATGACCCTTCTACCTTATTTTCAGTTGTCACTTCACTCTGGCCATACTGACCTCAGGCAGTTAGAGTGGTCCCAGAAAAATCAGAGGCAGAAGCATAACAGGGAGGAGCCCCAAGAGGTCCATCCAGGGTGTAGCAGTAAGCTCAGTGAATGAGGTGGCTGACGTCTCAATCCAAGATTTGTAGAAACTAATGTTTGTATATATTCCAGGCTCGTTGGTTTGAATGCAGTTTGTTCCCCAGGTCACAATTCCTGCCAGGACCCAGAAATCATCAACTTGACACATCAGAGGGTCTCCTCTGTTGCCCTGAAGGGAAAAGGAAAGTTGGCTAGTTAGTGCAGGGGCAAAGGAAAGGAGCTAGAGCCTCTGAATACACTCTTGGGTTCACCCAGGGACTCTGAAAATAGAAGATGTGGTAGAAGGATCCAGGGGAATGGAAGGGCTACAAAGGGTACCCTAGAAATAAATTCTTACGATACACTGATCCCTGTGTTTCACTGGGATTAGGGAGCAAATCGTGGCTTCACTGATGATGGACTCATTTCCATTCGTCAAGTTTGCATTTTGGTGGTAGTTATTGCATGTCTGCAGATCCATGAGAAGCACTCTCAGCTCCTTTAGAGTATAAGATGCCTTAGTATCTGTAGGAACAGGAAGAGTAAGCACTGTCTTAAAGAATTAGAAAGCAGTTTTTAGTGACTTTGTGAGTCTTTATGAATACAGATATTTTTGACCGCTGATTTTCAGAGACAGCTAGCATTTCAAATGTTCTGTCCCCATGTTAGGTGGCATCCTGATTTCTGGTTTGGGAAGTAGCCTAAAGAGTAAGTTCCTTGACTCTTTGCAAGGCTAAAGGCAGTTGCCATTCCTCAAGTGGCACAAATTAATAACAGAATAATCTTGTGATCCAGAAAACATGAAACAATGAATGATACAGATTAAAGTGCTTGTCTTTAAGAAAAATTAAAGCAGTTAATACAGGAATGAATCTCTGTTCTACTTGTAAATCTGACCAACTACCTTGGACTGGGTGGACTTACTTTCCTGAACATGCTTCATTTCTGCTTCCCATACCCAGTTGCTGACACCTACTCCATCCAGGTGCACAAGGAGCACTATATTACTCCTCAGACTGAGCAGAACTGTTCTCTCTTCAGTGCCCTGTCCTACTTGCTGCCAAGGTCTTTGCATTATTGCTAAGCAAGAACTAAATCAGGTATAAATAAAGAGGTTATAGCAAGAAATATGAATGAGGGGCTGGCATAGTAGCATCGTATGTAAAGTACTGCCCCACTTCTAGGATGGCCCAAGTGTTTGGGCCCCTGCCACCTATGTGGGGGACCCAGAATAAGCTCCTGGCTTTGGCCTGGCCCAGCCCTGGTTTTGGGGCCATCTGGGGAGTGAACCAGCAGATAGAAGGTGTCTCTCTCTCTCTCTCTCGGTGTATACTTTTCTCTCTGTAACTCTTTCAAATAAATAAATTTTTTTTAAGTACAGATGAAGCAAAGGGTCAAGAAGAATTTAAAGTCTGTGGTACCCCAAAGTAATTGCCCTGAGACTGCAAAATCTGGTGGTAGGGGTGGAATAATGAGTAGGGGAAGAAAATGTCAGTTGAAGAAATAGAAGTGAAAAAAATCTGCTTAGGCTCACGTTGATATGTCCCAGAATAGCTCCATCCAATCACCCAGCAGGAGGATGTATTCTTTAGCTGGACCTCAGATGAGGGGAGGCAGATAGGCAGGACAACAGGACCAAAAGAAACTGGGTAGGCCAGTTCTACTACAGCAGGAGCACCAAATTTGTTTCCTTGGTAGTCAGGATGGGTGATAATCCGGGACACAGGAATTATCGTCATTCTGGGGTCTGGGAGGCCAATGATCTGAAGTGACCCCACCAATACACTGTATTTTGTGACATCCATTGACCTGAGAAGAGAACAAGTACCATGGATTTTTAGTGATTCTACCATGGAGTATCACAGCAGAGCTCATTGTTCTGAAAATTGCATTTTTCCTTTAGTTCTTCCTAAGCTTTCACCAAGTATTGGGCCTCTCTTGAGAATGTGAGACTAAGATAGGCGTGATCTGGCCTGTATAGGACTGTGTTCTTAAGGGAGAGGTGTGTGTATGTGTGCATGCGTGTATGTATGAAGGAGAGGAGAGAGCAAGACAAGCAACAGACAAGTAAACAGACAAGTACAGTCCAAAATCTAAAATTGTGATAAATGTTATAAGGAAAACCCAGGATTTGAGGATAGTAAAACAAAAGGGAGTTTGAGTGATCAGTGAAGAGGTAACTTTTCAACTGAGTTACAAAAGGTGAGAGTCTGTTATACGAAGAGATAAAAGGAAAGCATTCCAGATAGAGAGAATAGAGTATGCAAAGGCCCTGAAGGTGCCTGGAAGTGGCAGTTTATCTTTGGAAATTGAATGAAAAACTGCGATGAGGTTGGAAAAGTGAACAAATACCTGGTGATGGATGGGTTATTTGCCACAGTGAGGTATCTAGGTTTTATTCCTGGCACCTACCTACCTGGCAGTCATTGGAGAATTTGAAGGAGGAAGTGACATGATATCACTTTTTTTTTTTTTTTAAGATTTATTCTATTTATTTGAAAGGCAGAATTAGAGAGGGAGAAAGAGAAATTGATCTTCTGTCCATTGGTTCACTCCCCAAATGGCCTCAGTGGTTGGGGCTGGGCTAGGCTGAAGCCATGAGCTTGGGACTCCATCTGGCTTTCCCACGTGGGTGACAGGGACTTCACAGGGACTTGGGTCATCTTCTGCTGCCTTGTCAGGTGCATTAGCAGGGTGCTAGATCAGAAGTGGAGCACTCAGGACTTGAACCATTGCTCATATGGGATGCCAGTATTGCAGATGGAACTTTAATCCATTAAACGTCAATGCTGGCCCCCATTATTTGACTTCTGATTTTTAAAAATACCACTTTTTGAGGGGTGCACATTTAGCCTAGCAATTGAGATGCCTGTTAAGATACCTGCATCCCATATTGGAATGCCTGGGTTCAATACCTGGCTCCTGCTCCTGATTCCAGCTTCCTGCTAATGTGGACCCTGGAAGACAGCCACAATAACTCCAGTGATAGAGTTCCTGCCACCCATGTGAAAGACCTGGATTCCGTTCCTGGCTCCTGACTTTAGCCCAGCTACAGCTCTGCCTGCTGTGGATATCTGGGGACTAAACCAGCAAATGAGAATGAGTTCTCTTGCTCTCTCTACTTTTCAAATAATAAATAATTTTTAAAAACCACTTTCTTGTGTGTGGATGAAAATAACAAAGCCTGTTATTGCAGTGCAGGGGCAGCTATGCTAGAGTCAAAGTATATTTTTAAGTAGTATTAACACGACTGCTATATGCATTGGATGTGGAAGATGAGGGGAAGTGAAATATATTCTGGCTTGAGCAGCTAATTGTATTAATGAGTGAGATCAGGAAGACAGAAGTAGATTGGGGGACAGTAGTGGTGGGGAAAAATGTAGCTCTCTTTGGGCCATGTTCCCTTGAGCTGTGTTAGACTCCAAATGGAAACACATCAGGATTAGGATTTACGGCTAGAGATGAGGTTTGATTGTTATCAGCAAATGTGTGACATTTAAACCATGAGAAATGTTTAAATTCACCTAGGGAGTGTAAAGAGGGCTCCTGGTCTGTGCATCCGGAGTGATGTGAAGATGTGGGCCTGCTGTAAGGTAATGGCCCTCTCTGGGGAATATCTCCTGGGTAGAGGCTTAAATGGAGGAGAAATGAGTGAGGAAATACAGCTATTTAAAGGTACGCATTTCAGTCAAGGTGATTGTCAATTATGAAGAAGCCTGAAGTCTGAGAGTAGTTGTTGAACTGAAAGCCGAGGTAGGAAATAAGTTTCGACTGTTAGAACCCCCTCCTCAACCTTAGTGCAGGAACTGCAGGCACCCTAGTCCCCTGATGGTGCCCTCTGCAGTAAGGTCAGCACTCACCAGAAACAGCTTGCCATGGTCAGCACCCACTGCTGGGAGATGAGAGTGGCCGAGCAGATGTGAAGCGAGCCCCGGCGGATGCTGACCTGCCAGGGCCACTGGCCCACGTTGGCCTCTCGACCTGAGGCGATTCCAGATGTGACTGCGGGCCGCCCACAGACTGCCAACGAAGAGGAGAAAGGCCTGGAAGCCTGCCCCGGGCTCCTGCCCCTCTTTCCCCAGCCCTCTGGCCCACCCGTCCCTGCTCATCTCCCAAACTGGAAGATTCCCCTCCCTTCTGGAGCCATCCAGGCATGCTGCCTCTGGCCGGAGTGCCTTACTTGACTCCAGCAGATTGCTTGGTTTTTCCTCATCTGCACCTGGAGAGAGAGGGGGACACGTGGAGGTGTTCTTGACTGATTCTTGCTGAGCTGGAGGGCCCTGAGGAGCCTTCCGGGGCTGAAGCGCCTTTCCCTGCTGAGGTTTACCTCACCCTCACCTGAGATCCCCAGCAGAAGGAGCAGCAGGAAGGCACTGGCGGCAGGGCCCATAGCTCCTCCGGAACAACACTTTGTTCTTGGACTCAGACCCCCCAGGGAGAGACCAGCAGGGAGCAGCTGGGGAGGAGGCTGCAGGAGCCGCTTCCACCTCACACTTCTCTCCTGTGGGCTCTTCCCCCTCAGATACTGAAGGGATCAAACAAGAAGTACTGCTCCTGGGAGCCAGGGGGAGGCCTTGAGGCTGGAGCCTCCTAGTGTCCTGGAAGAGCAGGGTGTCGGGTTTCTGCCTGCAGGGTGGGGTGAGAGAGGTGGAAGAGGAGCAGGCTGGGAGTGGGCTCTGGAAGGGCTCCCTCAGCATGCAGGGTCCCTGCTGGGAGTGGGGTGGGGGGGTTCGGAGGGGAGTCTAGGTTCACAGACCTCCCTCTGTGCCCCTGCCCCATCTCAGGAACCTGCTCCAGTTTGTGCCTGTCTGATTCCACCCTGACCAGTGGTAAACCAACCTGGGGCAGATCCCTGAACCTGGATCACAAAAGGCTGTGCAGACTGGCTGCCTCCGGGCTTTGGCCTTTGGAATGGTTAGAGGACTCAGAAAATCAAGAGGAAATAGCCAGTTGGTTGGCTGATCAGTGATTTCTTTCTTTCCCGCAGCTTCTACCAGTTGTAATCTGGTTTTTGCCTTCCTTAAATAGCAGATATCCCATTCTCTCCCCTGCCCTGCCCTACCTCCCCCCCAACTTTCACTTCCTCTCCCCCTCCTCCCTCACTCCCTCTACCCCCTCCCCTCTCTCCTTCTCCCTCTCCCTCCCTTTCTCCCTCTCTCTCCCACTTCCTCCTCTCCCACCTCCCTCCCTCCCCCTCCCCCTCCCATCTCTCCTCCCACCTCCCTCCCTCCCCCTCCACTCTCTCCTTCTCCCTCCCTCCCTCTCTCCCTCTCTCCCACTTCCTCCTCTCCCATCTCCCTCCCTCCCCCTCCCATCTCTGCCTCCCTCCCTCTCTCCCCTCCCCCTCCCTTCTCTCCCTCTCTCTCCCTCCCTCCCTCTCTCCCTCTTCCTCCCTTCCTCTCCCTCCTTCTCTTCCTCTCTTCCCCTCCCTCTGTTCCTCTCTCCCACTCCCTCTCTTTCTTCCTCTCTCCCTGCTTCCCTCCCTCTCGCTATCTCTCCCCCCTCACCAACATCTTCCCTTTCAAATGAACTTTTTTTTTTTTAAGATTTTACTTTATTTATTTGAAAGACAGAGTTAAGCAGAGAGGAAGAGACAGAGAGAGAGGTCTTCATCCGCTGGTTCACTCCCCAGATGGCCGCAACAGCTGGAGCTGTGCTGATCTGAAGCCAGGAGCCAGGAGCTTCCTCCAGGTTTCCCCATGGGTGCAGGGGCCCAAGGACTTGGGCCATCTTCCACTGCTTTCCCAGGCCATAGTAGAGAGCTGGATCGGGAGAGGAGCAGCTGGGACTAGGGACTAGAACTGACACCCATATGGGCTGCCGGCACTTCAGGCCAGGTCTTTAACCTGCTCCACCACAGCGCCGGCCCCCTCAAATAAACTTTTTAAGAAAATACTCTAGTGGGAGAGAGATGGGTAAGGAAATAACTCAGGTGGTTTTTATGTATAATTTATAGTGTATTCACTATGGGGTATAGGGGACCATGAAAGCTAAATGAAAGAGCGTTTGTGTGTATCACAAGTCATTTGGCCTCATTCCTGCCTCTCCCATCATTGGCTTTGAGCACTTTTGAACTTAGAAAAGGCACATATCTTAGCCCTGAGCAAATGTTGCTGAGCAATTGTGGGTTGCCATTTTTAATTACATGATGACAGAGCAGTTATTGAGACTCTTTAATGTTTCAGAACCAGTGCTTGGGCACAGGAGGGCGTCATAGTTACATAAAATAAACTGGGTTAGAAAGCTTGTAGAAAAAAAAAGGGAAGATTATATCAGAGAACTTGAAGTTCTTGGAAAAATAAAATTAGAAGTTTATTTTGTTGTAAAAAAGTTTGAACTTCATGCATAGTTTTTTTTTTTTTTTTTTTGGAAAGACTTATTTTTTATTTATTTGAAAGGCAGAGTGACAGAGAGAGGGAGAGACAGAGCTTCCATCCACTGAGTCACTCCCCAAATGACCCCAATGGCTTGGGCTGGGCCAATCTGGGGCTAGGAACCAGGAACTCCCCCAGGTCTGCCATGCGGGTGGGAGGAGCCCAAGCACTTGAGCCATCTTCTGCTGGCTTCCCAGGCTTATTAGCAGGGAGCTGTAACAGAGAGAGGGAGAGGCAGAGAGAGAGAGAGATCTTCCATCCACTGGTTCACCTTTCGGATGGCCACAATGGCCGGTGTCGTGGCATAGCAGGTAAAGCCACTGCCTTCAATGTCAGCATCCCTTATGGGCTCTGATTCAAGTCCAGCTACTCCACTTTCAATCCAGCTTCCTGCTAATGTGCCTGGAAGAAGCAGCAGAAGATGACCTGAGTACTTGGGTTCCTGCACACACATAGGAGACTTGGAAGAAGCTCCTGGCTCCTGGGTTCAGATTGGCCCTGCCCCGGCCATTGTGGCCATCTGGGAGGTAAACCAACAGGTGGAAGATCTCTCTCTGTAACTCTGACTTTCAAATAAATAAATAAATTTTTAAAAAAGTAGAGTAAAGAGGCATCTTCTCTGAGTTCTATCAGATACCACAGTTCCCAGCTGTGCTTTGGTGAGGTCTATATTCTCTAGATGACAATGGACTGTCTTGACATTTTGTGTGAACCAAGGAGCTAGCATGTATCTATGAGCCCATCTTTGCTGTACCTGGTGTTTTACACTGGACAAAGGCCTGTGAGAAGACAATTCTAGAGCCAAATAAGGAGTCAGAAATCTCAAGATAACAAGCCACATTGTTCCCCATTTAGAAGGGAATGTATTGGGCTTTAGAATAGAAACCAAAAATAATTTTGGCCACAAGTTGCAATAATCTGGACAGGAGGTGTTGGCGAATTTGAATCAGGGCTATAGAGAAGTGGCAGTTTCGCTCCCCCTCTTCGCGGAGGAACGACACAGGACCCTGTGCTGTTCTTTTGTCTGCTCGGCCCTCCCCGGGTTTGCTGCTGGTTCTTCCCGGGTTGGCTACCGTCCCTTCCACCTCCGTGGAAGGGCGGTTCCCCCTGCCACTTTCCCCACTTCCGCGGGGGAGCGGCACACCGCCGGCCGGCTCTCTCGGGGGCTGCTCAGGTGTTCCTTCAGATAGATGTTCCTGGTGCATGTTGTCTCTCTCCTCCTTTATAGTCCTCTTCCACCAATCCCAACTCTGCTACCCACACGCCGAGCACACTGCTCTCCTCCAATCAGGAGCAAGATCAGCTCCTGCAGCTCAATCAAATTGGCGAGAGGCAGCTGTGTAGAAGCTGTTACTCCCTTCTCAGCGCCATATTGTGGGAGAGCAGATGCGTAGAATAAGTCTTAATTCCAGTAACTTAGTCTAGTCCGAGTTGCTCCCCACATGGCAGATTCTGGTTTATTTTGAAGGTAGAGCCGACAGGACTCTATGGATTTTATGTGGGTATGAAAGAGGGGAGTCAATCACGATTCCAGGGTTTTGGGTCTGAACCCGTGGACGGATGGAATTATTTACTGAAATGTGGCACACTGTAGAAGGAGCAGGTTTCTGGAGGATGGATAAGTAGTTCATTCATAAACATGTTACGACGCTTGATAGATGACCAAATGGAGATGTCTAGGAGACAGGTGGATGTATGAATCTGGAATCTAGGAGATAGGCCTGTACTGGAGCTAGATTTTAGTGTCATCAGCATATCATAGTATTTAAAGTCGTTAAGACAAGATAACGTCTCCTAGGGAGTGAATGTAAACAAAGCTCACTATGAGTTCTTTTTTTTTATTTTTATTTTTTTTAATATTTTTGACAGGCAGAGTGGACAGTGAGAGAGAGAGACAGAGAGAAAGGTCTTCCTTTGCCGTTGGTTCACCCTCCAATGGCCGCCGCGGCTGGTGCGCTGCGGCCGGCGCACTGCGCTGATCCGATGGCAGGAGCCAGGTATTTATCCTGGTCTCCCATGGGGTGCAGGGCCCAAGTACTTGGGCCATCCTCCACTGCACTCCCTGGCCACAGCAGAGAGCTGGCCTGGAAGAGGGGCAACCAGGACAGAATCCGGTGCCCCGACCGGGACTAGAAGCCGGTGTGCTGGCACCACAAGGCGGAGGATTAGCCTAGTGAGCCGTGGCGCCGGTCTCACTATGAGTTCTAAAGACTGATCCCACCAAATGCTAGTCAGTAAATGCAGCAGTAGTAGAAGTCTTTTGCTTATTTCTGTTTTCTCAGTGGAATACAGAAATTATCCATTGGAAGTAAAAATGAGAGTGGAAGTGTTGAGGATTTGAAGAAAAGGGACCAACTAGTCCAATAGGAGTATGGAAGATGAATGGACTAAGGAACTAATAATCTGACTGCTGCACACATAAGGACCCATTTAATTTAAGAGTGAAATTGGCATTGGTGTGTGTTCAGCAACATGAGTGGGGACATGGAGAGAGCAGAGAGTTGCCTACAACCAGCATGAGGTTTTCTGCCATTGTTATGGAGGGGAACATGCAGAAGAGCTATTATAATTATAAAGCATGAACTTGGATTGGGAAAGAGGAAAGTAATGAATAAGGTTAAATCATTGAATTATAAATACTAATGTGGTTAAAAATTAATAGAACTGGCATTCTTAGAGGTTCAAGAAAAATGGATTGGATGTGTAAAATTGAGATGATGGAGAAGATTAGTTATTGGTGATAACAAGGTCGGCAAGACCATGGGAGTAATGCCTGAGGTTTGGGGACAGATCATTTAATCCTGGAAGCAGATTATGATGGAAAGGGCTTTTTAGGATTTTCTGTCTTGGAAACTGGAGACTGAAATGAATCCGTCAGTCAGCAGTCTTTGTTGAATGATCAAGTGATGATTTATACAGCCATACTGTAATTTTTTGGGCAAAAGTTTTCCATTTGATTGACAGACATGCCGGGAAACTTTTAGGGTTCATGCACATACAGCTAGAGCTGAATGCCCTTCCTTTCCACTGTGAAAAGAAACTTGATAATTAATAGTTATTAAAATATTAATAGCCCTGACCCCCATTCTGCTGCCTGCTGGGTACAATATATGGTTGAGTTTTTTCTTTACAGTTATTGACAAAGTTTAAACAGTAGAGCAGGGGCCAGCGCCGTGGCTCACTTGGCTG